GACTCCTTCAGGTACGTCAACCGCCTGCAGAGCAGCATTTCTCAACAACATGCAGATATGAGCCCTTTGGTTATTTGTCAGCGCCAACCGATGCTCAGAAAGAGATACAGATATGCAACAGAATCTTCACACACCATTAGCCTGGGCCTCGTGTTACTGAATTTTTCATGTTACGCTTGTACCAAAGGATGCATTTTTCATGGCTAACTTGAACTGTAAATACCCAAATCAATGTTCATGTTGGGTTCCGTTATCCCATACAGCCAGAACTGAGTTATACAGGCACTCCCGTTTGGAACAAAACCTAAAATTCAGCTTACCTCCACTTACAAGGCCTGCTCAGCTCAGCACAGCCCTGCCAGCAGAAGCGAACATGAAACACAAACGCTGCACAGTGAGCACGGAGTTCAGCTACACGTGAGCAAAGAGGAACTGAATTCCACCCATCACGTTCTTAGTCTGCACGCCCTTACAGTTTTAGCACAGCAGCTCTGCAGGCTCCGTCCCATGGCCATGGGGTAGCAGAGGAGCCTGGTGCTGCTCTGCCGCCCTCCGCCCAAGGCAGACCCTCATCCTACACTTCTCTTCCCCAGAGCTCTCAGTACTGAATATGCAAATGTAACCTTTTATTCCACTGAATGTTATGAGTGCAGATCACTCTTTGTACCTTTTGTTGTTGGTTTTTTTTTTTTTTGGCAGATAAAACTGGGAAAAATAAAGACCGGAAAATTACACACAGGTAAACAAAGTATTTGAGCCAACTGCTAAGAGGGTCCGATCTTACATAATGCTCCAAATTTAAGCAAACTAGCAACAACTGAGATGAAAAACCACACTTCATCAAGAAAAAATACAAGAACAGATGAAAATAAAGTTTTCTTCACAGCCTTTACTCTTTCCTGGACTTTTTTTGAACACTTCAGCACAGCAGGACTGGAGCAGAGCTGCCCATGCAGCAGCACCCCTGGCTCCCTGCTCCCAGCCCTTAACTCCTGCATTAAGGGACACAGACCAGTCACAGCACTCAGCTACGCTTCTCCTGCGCAGCAATCCCAGCCAACGTGGTGTGTGACAAACACCAGCCTGCTCTAAAGGCAGGGTCACCATCTCCCAATGCAGGCTGTCCCCGCTGTGCCCCGCAGCCCCACTGCTCTCGGTGACACCGCAGCACCCGCAGCCAAGCAGGAGCTGCACGGGGCCGCACCACTGACCTGCTGCAAACTTGGTGCCGGCGAGGCAGGAAGTACGCGGCGACGCGCCTGCTCTCACAACAAAACCCCGGCGTCCCTTCTGCTCCCAGACGGCCACAGAGCGCTGGGAACCTGGCAGCAGCTCATCCAAAAAACAATCAAAAACCACTCTAGCTTTGCTCCAGTGATCCTGACGGGCAATTATGACATACATGAAGCAGTCACAAAATATATTAGAAGAGATTATGACCCACTGAGAAAATCCTGCAACATTGCAGCTGAGAGAGTCCAGGTATTGCAGCACAGTACAGTAGGACAGAAAATCCCATTTGCATTTATGAGAGGAGAGCAAAGTTCAGGCGCTCTGTTTCAGGCAGCCTCCCCGGCACGGCTCCCGGCAGGTGACGGGGGCAGGAAGACATTTTCAGACGCTTTGAATTCTAGCTCTTAAGCTAGGTCAGAATACATCTTCTAATGTTTGTAAACCTGAAATCTTAGCAGGTGCGGCTCAGCCACGCAGCACGTACATTCTAAGGAAACGTGCAGGAGGTGCACAAACGTGCTGCTTTTGTCCTAATCAAGACTGATGGTGCGGCCTGATAACAAGGGGTTGTTCTTCACCTCGCCCTGCCAAGAGAAACAAGAGAACCCAACTTTCTAAGAAAGGAGAAGAGCCAGCAAAGAACTGGGCAGCTTTCTTCTATTCTGGATCAAATGAGAAAAACCAAGAATGAATTATGATTTGGTAGAAAAGAATGTAAACTCAGTTCGGTTTTTTCTCTACTCACCAGACGACACCAAAGGCTCCGTATCCAATAGGTCTGTCCGGCTCAATATCCAGCTGCTGCTGTGGATGTTGTGAGTGCTGATGATGGTGCGCTTTGACCGCAGCCGCAGCTGCAGCTTGTACCTGAGCTGGGGCGGCCGCCGCTGGTCCAGGGGCCTGGCCCGGTGCCGGCGATGGGAAATATGGCTGCTGCTGCCCGGGGTTCAACATCGCCGCCGCCGCCGCCGCCGCCGCTGCGGCCGCAGCTGCCGAGGAAGCGTGCTGCTGCACGGGATGGACCGCGGGCGCGGAGCTGGGGTGCAGGTGGTGCTGAGGGTGGTGGTGGTGATGGAGGTGAGGAGGAGGGAGGTGAGGGAGGTGGTGGTGATGGTGGTGGTGGTGACCTGCCGCTGCCGCAGACGTACCGCCATTGTAAGCCGCCATCATTTTTGCGTTGGCCGTCGCGCCACAAAGAGACATTCAAAAAAATGCCCCTTGACCGGCAAACGACCAGGTCAAGCTGTCATTTGGCCATCAAAAAATGAGATTTGCTACACTTTAAAGGAAGTCGGGTTCCATCATACACGGCCCACCTGCGAGAACATCGAGCTCAGCGGGCCTGATCTCTTGGCGAAGCCACACGGCGCGGAGACTCTTCATGTGCACGAGCCCGAGCGCCGACCCACCGCCCGCGGCGTTCACTGGGGCTCCATCCCGGGCAGGGCCGCGGCGCTCCGGGCTCTCCGCACTTCGTTTCCGAGGAAGGGGCGCTCAGTGCCCCGCGCCCGGAGGATGAGGGGCCGCCGCCCGGGGACGCCCTGCGCGGGCCGAGCCTACCCCTGCCATGCCCACATCCCCGCGGAGCGCCCCGCGCCTCCTACATCGCTCCCTCCGCTCGCACACCTGCTCCCTCCGCCACAGCCAACAACTCGGGGAGTTCGCAACTTTTCCTCGCAGGCCCTGAAACATACACAGCACCCGAAGAGAGTGAGGGGGGCGCGGGCGGCGGGGCGGGGGGGCGGGGGGAGCCGACGGGACCGGCCGAGGGAGAGAGAGGGCCGGGGGGGGGGGGGGGGGGGGGCGCGGGCACGGAGGGAGCGGGGGCGGGTGACAAATGGATGACAGGGGCGGGAGCGGGGCCGTGGGGCGGGGGGCGGCGCGCTGACAGCGGGGCGGCGGCGGCGGCGCCGGAGGGGCGCGGCG